ACTATTGTTGAGTTGGTTCCAACTCATAGCAACCCTACAGGACACAATCAGATCTGCTTGAGGATTTCTGAAACTGTAACACTTTCCAGGAGTAGACTGCTTTTCCTTCTCCTGGGCATTGGCTGGTTGGCTCAAACTGCTGATCTTGTGGTTTGGTTGACAGCTCTATGCATAACCCACTGCACCACCAATTCAGGGTGCCACCGTGCTAGGGAAAGGCTTCTCTCTCAGCTCTGGGAGAAGTTCCTTCTCTCCTGTCAGCATATGTGGGCCCAGCCTTCCTTGTTGATCTCCACATGTCTTGCTATCAGTCTTCCATTGGGTCTAGGAGGTTCTCAGCACAGAAATACCAGGTCCAAAGAGTGTGTTCCACTCCTGGCTCTTCTTTCTTATTGGTACTGAGGTACCACCCTCTCTACTCATTTCTCTCTCCTTTTAGCTCTTATGAGAGAAATGATGCTGCCGACAGCACCCCAGGGAAACGTCCCTTAGATCAGATCAGCGTTGTCCTAAGTGAGTGTTTTGCCTCTCTTTGGTGGTGCTGTCAGTTAAGTGTTGGATTACTGACTGGAATGTTTGCAGTTCAAACCCAACAGCTGTTCCACGGGAGAAAGATGAGGCTATCTGCTTCCATCACGATGTTCAGTCTCGGAACCCCTCTATGAGTTGATATGAGTTGGAATTGACTCGATGGCAGTGGGTTCCAATCCCCTTAGAACTAACTGGCTGATCGCATCAGTTCAATTTGTCGCATCGATTACACCATCACATAACTGTCAGATTACATCCCTGTATACCGGCCAAACCAAGGAGCATCATGGTTCCCCAAGTTGATACATATTTGAGGGGGAATATAATTCAATCCATGGCAGGAGCAAGTGAAATTCTGCGTTTTTACTGCTAGTAAACTCCAACCAAATTCACCGCCATTGAGTCAACTCTGATGCTCAACAACCCCATTTAGAGTTTCCGTGACTATACATCTTTACTGGAGTAGACAGGCTCCTCTTTTGACCATAGTGTGGCTGGTAGGTTTGAACCACCAACCTCGTAGTTAGCAGCATGATGCCTGACCCAGAGCTACCTGAAAGTGTTTATATTTCAGAATGATCTGCTCTTTAGTACTTGAAGGGCATTTTGACCCCTTTCTTAACTTACAAAGAGAAGTGACAGAGCCCAGGCATATCCCAGGTGCTAATTCATGTTGTCTGTTGTTGGTTGCCGTCGAGTCAATGCCAACTCATGATGACCTTGAGTGCCAAGAAGAACCCATAGGGTTTTCAAGGCTGAGACCTTTCCGAAGCAGACCACTGGCCTGTCATCTAAGGTGCCTCTGGGCAGGTCCAAAGTTCTAACTTTTCAGTTCATTCATGGTCTAGAGCCTAACCATTTGCATCCCCCGGGAGCTCCAATCAGGCCCAAGCACGTCCTTACCTAGAATCAGCACACCACAAACAGAAGAGTTGTTTGACATGGTTAAGACGAGATGAAAACCTTCAGATGCCATTTCCCGGGATACCGCTGTGCTCTGATTTGTCCATTCGGTTGCAGCTTCCTGCCAGCTCTGTTCTTTACCCGGTAACCGAGGAACACGCCTAAGCCCATCCATTTCTTAAATGAATCTCAACTTTGAGACCTGCAGGCAGGCTGGTTTAGATGGGTTCTGCTAAAGCTGCTTCAACCTGAAAGGGGAGCAAAGAAATGATAGACTTATGATGTAAAAATCGACTCCTAATTCCCATGGCCTTTTCTTTCCCCAACCGCATATATGAATAGCTGCCTGTGGATTCCCTGGAGAGAGGGGCTGGAAAAGCAGTGGGGGTGGTGGTGATTTAGTTGTGTTCTCCATCTCCGTGGCCTCCTTCCTTTTACTAACACAAAGGCGCATATATTCATTCGAATAATCATCTATTCCCACATGTTCTGGTTGGTCTTGTTTAGATCTTAGGGGTTTGTTTTATTTATGTTGCCCCCTCACCCCCATCTCCTGACTGTTTATGAGCTAGCGAGTACTTCTTGGCTTAATAACTTCTCAATGTTTAACTAGATTTTAGGACATGCCAAGGGGAAGCTGTTTAATGCATGCTGGTGGTGCCAAGGAGGCTGATGTGAAGAGCGTGTGTTGGCTCTCCCAGGATATTTTTGTTCTGTGAATATTGTGTGCCTATTCTTTGCCTTCGCTGTGCTGGGAGCTGCAGTATAACAGCAAGTAAGCCAGTTCTTGTCTTCAAAGAACTGAAAGAAGATACCTTTATCATATGGCAAGCGATAGGCACACACAGAGACAGGCACACACGGGACCAGGGCAGGCCTCATAAGCATTTTCAGGACTAGCTTCCTGGAAGAGGTGATGCTCCAGCTGAACCCATCGCTTTTCAAAAGTCAGTCGTCCTAGGCAGGAGGCCTGGGAATTGCCATTTGGCTGCAGCACTTTGAGCAACCATCTCCATTTCTTCTCAGCAGCCTCTCCCCCCACCTCATCCCCATATGGGGGACATGGCTCTAAAAAGTACCCTGAAGACCCTGCCTGCCTCACATCGAATGCACACCTGCAGCATATCATTTTGAGTATACCTTGCCAGCAGTCCTTCCACCCAAAGAGCCATTGACGCTTTCCACAAAGAACACCAAACCCACATCAAACTCCCTGCCCCCGGTCCTTTCCGATTCCCAGCAGCTCTGTGGAGGCTTGCCGAGCCTGTGAATCTTGCTCCGGAGGAGGGGCTTGTACGCTTAAACCACTGAGCGGTCAGTTCCCAGGCTGATGCTTCACCCACTGAGCTCCCAGCTCGATGCATCCAGTGCTTGCCTTAGGAGAGAGGCAGTTGCCCTGTGGCAATAACGTCACTAGATTGTCCGGAATGGTAAGCGACTTGTGGCGGTAAATTAAACATCATGGTGTATGTCCTGCAGGAACCTGGTGGTGCAGTGGTTAAGCATCTGAAAAGTTGTGGGTTCAAACCTACCAGCCACTCCTCTGGAGAAATGTGGCATCAGCTTCCATAAAGATGACAGCCTTACCTCTCTAGAGTCATGGTTTCCTGGGGTTGGAAGAGGTGGGATGGGGAGCTATGAGTACAAGAAAGAAGAAACGGCTCTAAAATTGTGGTAGGATTGCACAACTCTACTACATGCCACCTATTGAATTGTATGACGTGTGAATTGTACGTCGATCACACTTCAAATTAGTTAAAAATATCACAGCCTTGGAAACCCCATGAGGCAGCTCTCCCCTGACCTATAAGGTGACTAGGAGTTGCATCAACTCAATGACAATGGGTCTGGATTTGGGAGGCATCTCATGAATAACAAACCCTGGGCAAAGGTGCCAGTTTGGTGGCCTGATTGAGATGTGGAGCGGCTCCAGTAATGACTGAACACCTGTGATGGGTCCTCTGCCAGCACTCGATCTCTATTGTCTCATTCAGGAATTAACAACGCTACAAGGCAGAAATCCCATTTTGGTGCTAAGGAAACAAGGAAAGGGAATTTGCTCAAGTTTATCAGATAGTAACTTAGTTGGGTGTGAACACTAGTCCACATGGCTCCAATGCCTTGTTTGTTCTAGCATGCCCGGCTGCCTTGGGGGTGCTTCTTTGTTATATTCTTTATAGTCAAGTCTTGATCTTTTTCAATAAGTAAATAAGGAGTAAAAAAGCAAGAAACAAATAACCCAATTGCAAAATGAGCAAAGGGCTTGAATAGGCACGTGACACGACAGAATAGCCAAATGGTTAATGAGCCTGTGTTTATCTTCATGGGAATTCAAATTAAAATCAAAATGCTACATCACTACACAGCCACTGGAATGGCTGAAATGTAAAAAGGCTGCTTCACATGCGTTGTTGAGCATGTAGAGTAGCCAGCATTCTTGTGCATTGCCAATGGTACAACCACTTTGGAAAATGGAACTGGAATATATGCCTATTGCATTGTCCAGCAATCCTACTCCTAGGTCTGTACACCCCGTTGTGTGCGGAGCTAGTTCCTACTGTTTCCTGAGCTAACTCATGTCCCCTTGGTAACTTGAAACTGGCCATGATATTTACAAATGCTTGCACATCAGACCTATTTTTGTTGTTGAACTGATTGTTAAATGCACGCATATTATATACCACAATAATGAAGAGCATACATACACACACACACAAAATATCAGATTCCACTGTATATACCAGAGAGAAACGAGTGCATATGTCCACCAAAACATATATGCAAGAGTGTCTGTAGCAGTTTTATTTATAAGAGACCCAACCTGTAAACAACCCAAAGGTCCACCAACAGAAGAATGGAAAGATAAATGGTGGTGTCTTCATACCGCAATTGGAATACTCCACAGTACTAATAATAAACTCAGAGTATAAAAATAACAAACTGCAGAGAAACATTTTTTTAAATGTATGCATCTCACAGGCAGGAGGTTGAGTAAAAGAACCAACCAAAACCAAAGCCTTCTGTTGCCTGGGGGATTCCAACTCACAGTGCCCCAGGAGGACAGAGTGAAACTGCCCCGCAGGGTTTCCAAGGCTGTAAATCCTTAGGAAAGCAGACTGCCACGTGTTTCTCCTTTGGAATGACCGTAGGATCAAGCCACCAACTTTTTAGTTAGCAGCTGAGCCCCTTAACCACCACCCCACCATGGCTCCTTTTGAGTAAAAGGAGCCCGACACAAAAGAGCACATACAAGTTGATTTCATTCATAGAAAGCTTAAGTACATTTAAAACTAATCAACATGGATGGAATTCAAAACAGCTTTCCCCTGGAGTGGGGGTGGGAGTACTGCTGGGAAGGGTGCATTCATGGTATTGTAGATGATTTATGCTCAGACCTGGGCAGTATTTATATAGCTATGTACAGGTAGACTTGAACTGTAGACTCAAGACTTGGGCACTTTATAATATGCATATTATACCTCACTAATTCAGAGTATGCATACACAAACACTCATACATACACACACACACAGAGACACACACACATTCTATTCCTTGACGTTGTCATGAAGGTCGAAGAGTTAGAGTACCGTCCCAGCAGGGCAGAACTTCCACCAATGGTGAGTACCAACAGGAAGAAAGGCAACCTGATCTTGACAAACCAATCAGGCTTAGTTTTGCTGGCATCCAACTGCCATCTTGGAGACTTTCAACACCTGGACTGCCAGCAGTGCTGATGCATGGCGAATTTGCCTCCACCATCACATACACCCCAGGCACATCCCTGCCTGGGCAGGAATCCAGTGAACATATCAACTGTCTCTCCCACACACCTACCACAACAGCAGCAGCAGTTCAGAAATATACAGATAGAGGCCTCTCATCCGACTTGGGCAATATTCCAGCATTTGCTGTCAACAGAGAACACTGAAGCCTGAAACCTTACCTGCTGAGATGTTCCAGAAGCATGCATTGAGACTGCTAACTTTGTCTCAGAGCATTTTCTCAACTACAATAAAATCCAAAGAAGCGTTGGTTTCTTTTATCGTCAGCCAGAAGAAAGATGAGAGATCACGTCATCTCACAGTGCTCCATTCCTGGCAGGAGGTAGGCTGAAACCCTTCTAGAGGGGTTAGGGTGTACTCCTGGAAGGAATGCATTCTCGCTCCAACATGTGACTAACTTGAAGGCTTAATCAACAGACTAGACTATGCCCCAGACAAGGGAGAAATGCAGTCGATAGCATCAGGCCGTCGACAGTCATGAACTTATCAAAACCGCTTGAGAAGTGTTCATTGGATACCTACTGTGTGTAAGCTGGAATCTCAGAGAAAGATGTGGGCCACGAAAGGCCTGAAGATGAAGAGAAGTGCACAAGATCCTACTGTAATCCCTATGGGTTGACTTTTGTTTGTATGGCCATTTTTGAACAGACAAGACATTGGGAGCTGGTTTTAGAATGTGCTTTTAGATTATGGAGAAATTCTTGTCTTCCAGAGACTTTGATTGTTGTTGGATAGTGCCTCGGTTTGGATTCCCCAAAAGCAAACCCTGAAATAAGAAACCAAGTAGAGCCTATTGGGGAGGTTGAGGGCAACCAGAGGGGAGCTCAGGATGAGAGAGAAAGGCAAAGGAGCTTATAATGAGTGTGTGCTTGAGCAGGCGCCCAATGTGAGTGAGCAGAGTGCAATCTGGCAGGGAAACCTCTGAGAACCAGTTAAAACGCACTCATCTCAGATTTATTTTATCCATGGGGAGGAAGCTGGGTATGTATACATCAACTCCCATCTGTCATTGGGTGAGGCTGCTCCCAAGGGGTCTCAATTCCCTAATACTTCTAGACTGGCAGGCAGATGGCAAAAAGGGCTCTCGGACCAAAAAAATGGGTGCTGGCATTTGGAAGTCAGGCAAATGTACATTCAAGAGGTAAGGCCTAGAAGGACCCCAACAGTATCTGTTACAGAGGACCATGAAGCAACTGCCCAGGCACGTCTGCACGTGTATCACCTATGTCAGCATGTTACAAGTGTGCATACAGAACAGTGAAAGGTCAAGCCTGGACGAAATGCATATGGAATGTTAATATTGAAATCTGAGAAATGCAGCCCAAATGTTTGATCAGTACTGTGGATCTTAAAGTTGTCATCCATTTCTGTTAACTGGTTTACTCTGCCCTAAGCTATCCAACCCAAAAAACAAGTTCACTACCATCAAATCAATGCTGACTCATAGCAACCTTATAGGTCAGGTGGAACTATCCCGGTGAGTTTCCAAGACGGGAACTCTTCATGGAAGTAGCAAGTACTGTCTGTTTCCCCTTAACTTCCCAGATCTATTTTTTTAAAGTAGCAATATCTCCACTCTCCAGCCTTTCCAATCCATCTACCACCAAAGCCAGAGTAAGCTTCCCAAGCAACAATTCTAATAATTTCATGCCCGGTTTAAAACACTTCATTGGCTCCGAGTTGTCCTCAGAATAGTCCCTGTCTTAAATGTTTGGAGGACAAGGTTTGTATGAGTGAACCTTGCCCGAGTCTTCAGATTTCCTCTCGCTTCTCCCCACATCCCAAGTTACTTCCGTTTCCCTTTTGAACATTTCTGTGTCCCTAGGACTTTGTCTATGTTTTGAACATTCATCTGGCACATCTGTCCATGACTTCCACATCCCCATGCTTTAGCCCAAGGTCAACTACTTATCCTTCCAGCCTTAATTTAGACACCACTTCCTCCAAGAAGTAGTTCCTACTACCCGCAAGGCTAGCACGGATATGCCTCCCTTAATATCCTTAACATCATCCATTGTAGAACTCTGTGCAGGTGTGGCAATCATCTCTTTGCTTGTTTTTATCTCCTATAGTTTGATGTGATAGAAAATTCACTAATCTACCCTCACACCTATTGCCACTGAGTCTGTTTCAGCCTATGTTGACTCCAAAGTGAGTAGAACTCCTCGGAATGTCTAAAACTGTACATCTTGATGGGAGCAGGCAACCTCATCGTTCTATCAGAGAGCACTTGGTGGGTTTGAACTTCTGACATTGCTATTAGCAACCCAATCCTTAAACCACACTGCCACCAAGGCTTCTTGAGATGTGTCTGTTAGGTGCCATCGAATAGGTTCCTACTCTCAGTGACCCTGTATACACCATAATGACACATTGCTTGTTCCAGAACTTCCTCACAATTGTTTTTATACTTGAGACCATTGTTGCAGCCAATGTGTCAATCCATTTCATCGATGCCCTTCCTCCTGTTCACTGCCCTTCCACTTTACCAAGCATGGCATCCTTCTCCAGAGGCTGGTCTCCCCTGGTCACATGTCCAAAGGACATGAGACAAAGTCTTACCATCCTTGCCGCTAAAGAGCATTCTGGCTGTAATTCCAAGACAAATGTTTGTTCTTTTGGTGGTCCATGGTACTTTCAATATTCTTAGCCAACATTATAGTTCAGACGCATCAATTCTTCTTATTGAATAATGTCTTCCTTACTCAATGTGCAACTTTCACAGACATATGAGGTGATTCAAATATGCCGTGAACCTTAGTCCACAAAGTAACCTCAATAGTTTTCAACACTTCAAAGAGGTCTTGTGCAAAAGATCTACCCTCTGCAATGCCTCCTTTGATCTCTTCCATGAATGTTGATGGTAGATCTAAGAGCAAGAAGAAATCTTTGACAACTTCAGTCTTTTCTCTGCTTATCGTGATGTTACCTATTGGTCCAGTTGTGAGGATTTTTATTTTCTTTACAGTGAGTTGTCATCCATAGTGAAGGCTGCAATCTTTGACCTTCATCAGTAAGTGCTTCATGTTCTCCTCACTTCCGGCAAGTAAGGTTGTGCCATCTGCATATCACAGGTTGCTAATAAGCCTTCCTTCAATCCTGATGCCAAATTCTTCTTCATATAATCCTGCTTCTCTGATAATTTGCTCGACATTTGGATTGAATAAGTATGGTGAGAGGTGTGCAACCCTGATGCGCACCTTTCTTGATTTTAAACCACGCAGTATTACCTGTCTATAAGCAAGTCCAGGAGAGCCAAAATATGACCTTGAGTATATCCCACACATATATCAAGAACAGATTTGATGCATTAAGCACTAATGACAGAAGACCTGATGAGCAGTGGGAAGACATCAAGAACATCATGCATAAAGAAAGCAAACGGTTATTAAATACAACAGGAAGAAAGAAGAGACCAAAATGGATGTCAGAAGAGACTCTGAAACTTGCTCCTAATCATAGAGTAGCCAAGCCTAATGGAAGAAATGATGAAGTCAAAAAGCTGAACAGAAAATTTTGAAGGACAGCTC